TAGTTGAAAATATTTTGATCAAATACAGCTGATTACAACATTCAAATTATCTAAATAAATTATTCAAACCAGAGGTTTAGCTGGTGTATCACGGTTGATGAGGAGCTGATGTTTTTCTCTACTCTACACTGCCACAAAGTGTATTCAAGCATTTGTTCTTTCTTATCATATTTAGTCATTGACCATATTTGTAACCATGGTTAAAGGAAGAAACATAGGTGTGATATTTCCGTCATAGGCTGACACCACCCAGATTACAAACGCCATTTCACTCTTTAGAAAAAATATAAAAACAATAATAATCAAATCAAAACAAATATATACTTATGGTAGTTACAACCAGCTAATTTTCTGTTTGCAATCTGGGTGACGTCAGCCTATGACTAGAAAATCACACCTATGTTTCTTACTTGCACCATTATTTGTAACCATAACAGTATATAATTTAGTACAATACATACATAGTTATCTTGTAAAGCATCATTATTTTTAATGAATTCATACAAGATAGAGTAAGTAACAAGTTCTTAGAATTGCAAAATTTTAACTCATTACAACATTTTGATTGTAAAGACTACACAATTACATAAAACGACATGAAAGACAACTAATTAATGTTACATACCATACCTATTAATTTAATAATATTAGAACTAAAACATTATTTTAGATGGCAACGACCCTGTTAAGATTAAAGTTTTCAAAATCAAATGAATGACTAAATGACGATTGTGGCTATTTTTGTTTTTTTCGTTTTTGCAGAGTTAAGTATCTAAAAGGATTATTATACTGTATTTTTCCATGCAAGATGACCAGAGTGTTATATTTTTTTATCTCAACCAGATTTGTGATTCTATATTTATCTTTTAAATAAAAAGAATAGAACATTTTCGATTTTTCCAATCGGTTAGTGCTATGCAGTTAATGTAATTTGGAAGATTTAGGGTTAGAGAAAATCATATAGAGTATTATAGAGGTTGCTAAAATAACACACATAAATTCTATTTCTGTCTGATACAGCTAATCCCTAGTAATTGGATAAAAAATTGTTAGTATCAAGAGTGTGTAAAAGACACAAAGAAATTGTAAAATTTATTTTAAACCGTTGGAAAAGAGCTATACAACCCTTTTAAGACATTTAGACCCAGAGTGAAAAATACACAGAAATGGAAATGGTAAAATTCCTTAACTCATTTAAATTATAATACGTGGCTGATTTGACTACAATTTAGAATTGATTTAAGTAAAGATCTACATAAAAATGGCACTGTTCTTATATCTATGTTAAAAAATAGGTTGATAAATCTTATTGAAGAAAAGTGATAACTTTTACCTATTTTGACCAAACGGTATTGAAAAAAAATATATTTGATAGCACCATCATCAAAATAAACTGGCTCAGGAGTAATAAGACAAGGTAACAAGAAGATAAATCAAACAAAATTAACAATAATATTAAATGGAAAAATATACATAGTTTTTTGATTTTAATCAAACAACAGCTATATGAAATTCCGGTTGAATAAGTGAATGAATACATAAAAATATTCCGCTTCTGGAAAAATTGACTTGGAATCTCTTCTATACCTATCATGAGATATAAGTATGTCATGGTTTTTTTCTACATTCAAAATATATTATAATTAAACATTACACATGATCAGAACACCAAATATTCAACATTTTACCTTGTAATTAAAAGTAAAATGATTGAGTTAAACTGATAATATCTTTAACAATCACCAAAGAAAAAACATTGTATTACAGAACTCGTATGAAAACCCCACTCTTTCATTACCAATTTTTTTTATAAACCACGTTACAAAAATAAATAACTAATCTAAATAATATAGGCTAGCAAAAATTGTGCTAGTTTTTTGTAAACCTGTAATATGATAAATTATTATTAGACTAAGCCAAGAGCGGAATAACACTTGGTCAGTCATTACCCTTAGTAAAAAATTAATTAAAATCGGCCATGGTAAAGAGGATACTTAATTATTTCAATTGGTATTAATATAAAAAAAACCTACTAAATCATATACTGTATTCTCAACCAATAAAAACACTAGAGCAGAAAATTGTTAAGTTTAATAATGTAAAATATGTAATGGAATGAAGATGGTCCCTAATTACTGTAATTAGTTACTATAAACCCAAACCAAGGAGTGTGCAGGTATTTTAAATCATTTTATATTTAATTGTTTGATGCAAAATATTGTTTAGTGTTATTTTTGTTCATATGCTCATATGATACAGTTATAAAATGCAGTAGGCCTTCTTGATAATTGAACTCAAGTTTTTTTAATTACACGTTTAGTATTTTAACAGTGCAATGGTTTTAAGGAATTTAAAAATCAAGTCCTAGGCTCATACAAATTTTTAACACTGCTATTAGTAGTTATAAAGTTTTAAATATTTTTAGTAATAATTTAAAAGTGCCATTTTACATTAAAGAAGAAAAAAGTAAAAATAAACAAAAAAACACAGCTGATAATGAAATTACACAAATTAATGATTTTAGTTAAATGATTATTCCTTTAAAAGGATCCAAATTATAAACCAATATCTTGAGTTTATGGGACTCAATTATGGGTTGGTATGCATTTTTTTCTTTCTTGAAATGTAAACTCTAGGGGTAGACTACTCTCCAACACAAAAAATCTCATTATTTAACTTTTGCAAATTGAAATTATGGAATTACCATAAACAAAAGTGTTAAGAATACTTTGAATGCCTGAATACAATGGTGGGTATTCTACAGTACCTCTAAAGTTATGGGTTAACATTTTGAGCATTATCTCAACTAAGTGTTACGCTGTAACTAAAAAATAAAACAAAAGAAAACATTACACTCTATTGTTATGAAATTGAACTAGGCTGGATCAACAAAATTTGTAATTCAGATTCGAGAGCATATAGCAAATAATGTAAATAAACAAATAAAACTTATAAAAAAAGTACCCAATAGTTATGAACGATATCATCATCCTTTCAAAGCTAGGGTTTCCAAGATCACGCCGTACGGACAGTGTGAGTGGAACAAGCAAGATTATGTAATAAAGTTTAAGTTGAAGCCATGCCCAACCCAAGTTGAAGCCAGACCCATATGGGTCGGTTTCCAAGCACGAGCGATCACGCTGGACATGAGTTTTTCCGCCATCTGTCTGGCATGAGTCCTCAGCGTGGCAGCTGAAGATGACCCACGGTCATCTTTGGCGTGCAAGCCGAGCGGGCAGGTGTAGGACTCTATTTTGTTTTGTGACAACTAACACTGTTTTAAATTTTGTTTAAAAATCCAGTGAAAGAACATGCTGTGGATAAATTTTGTCATAAATGGCAGAAGTTGTTAAGTTTTTCCCTCCCCACCTCATTGCGGAGGCTAGAATGAAGGTTTGCCAAGTGGTAACTGACCTGGAATCGTGCCATCCAGCAAACTGCCCCTCCCCTGCTACTACAGCTGGCCTCCCCAATTTACTTACAGCGTACAACCATTTCCCCCCAAACATTCGAGTGCATACCCTGCATACCCCTAGTGACAACATCAGCAGTGCTACTTCTTCGTCCTACAATAATTACAGTTCACCAAATGACGTTCAAGATGCTTTCGATCCAACCCTCGAGGAGTTGAACACTTTTGTAAAAATTTAAAAATCACACTTAGATTATTTAAGTGTGATTGCAATAAAATCCAACTTCTTTGAACAATGGTGTGTTTTTTATTTACCAAAACTACTTTTACGTGTCTCTTTGTTTATAGAACCGGATTATGGAGCTATGTTTGGTAGTTTTTATTTTTATTTTACTTATTTTAAGGACTTTAAAGGTGTTTTAATAACTCCGATGTTATTTCTAACAGTTTTGATTATATGATACATTTAGTCTATTTGTAAATTTCTCATTTATATGCAATTTTTTGTCATTGCTGACAACTAGCTCATAGTTCATTTCCCAAGAGAAATAACCGTGTGAAAAAACATGAGAATGTCCGCTTTCTTGCAAACCACCCTCTTGCCGGATATCGTCGGACATCCCACGGACGAAAATTAGCGCCAACATACATCATGCCAAACAGATCGCTAGCGTGTTCCTGGAAACCGTAGCTTAAGGCTAACTTTTGCAACTTTAACAAGACTTTTTGGACGGGTCAATGTTATTAAGCTCCATCAAAAAATGTTTATTTTAACAATCGCCTTTACTCTTTTTTCATACAAAAACTGCTGTTTTAAAGTTGAAGTTTAGTTTAGATCCCTCATATACATACTACCGGTATAACAAAATTACTGTTGGTACTTTGGTTGAATCTTGTATGATATCCCTAATCTTAGGTTCATCATCGAGTTTGTCTTATATATACCAAAAGTGATGGCACAGTTTAGTTCAATATTATGTTGTTCAATATCTTAGCAACACAAAAAAGACGTTTCTCGTCTTGATAACAACTAAAAATACAGACAGACACATTTTATGTGTTTAGAGCTTAAAAACTTAAGTTATTTTTATATAAATATAAAAAATCACATAATAACTAGTGGTGAAAATGTGAAAATTAAATAATGATAGTGTTGAAAAATCTGAATGCAAGTACTGTAAATGTCAGTATAAATTGTTGTGGAAATTCTGATATAACAATTCAAGCCCTAAATTAGTTTCAATCATATTTGCCCCAGGATTGATGTAACAATGATAAAATAGATTGCATACCTAATTAATCTACCTATTTTATCTTAGTATTGGTTTGAAATATTTAATCAGATTTATTGTTAATAATAAAATCAACGGTTTATTTGATGTTAGACATGCCTAACTGAAATAATTTTGAAGGCGGTTTTTTTCAATAATTGAGGTTTGCTAGGCAAATATTATTCTTTTACGAACTGAGGAATGGGCATTGTGGAATGCATTCTTTTCATTAACTCTTGCAATTTCACTTTTTACAAACACTAGTTACATGTGATGAATGATTCTATGTGATGCTACTCGTGGGTGGGTGAGGAGTCCTGATGTGAGAACGTTTGTGTCGAGGTCTGTACCTGTAGTCCGGATGCTGTTCCATGTGAACTCTCATCAATCTTTTCTGTTCCTCATAAAACGGTTGCTTCTCATAGTCAGACATCTCTTTCCATCTAGCACCTGGGGGTATAACATATGTTATTCAGTACACAGGTACACTTATAACAGTTGGCAAGGTGCTGGCTTAGCATAGTAGTGGGGAGCAACAGTGATGTAAACACTTCTCAGGACCAGACTAAAATAAATTAACTAAGTAGAAATATTAGAAGAAAAAATTAAGATTAACTAATTGTAAACAGATTTTCAAATATTCAAAATTTGTGAAAATTAAATAGAATGCTCAATCCATGGATATGTAGGAGAACAACTTGGAATACAATGAGTACTACAAGGATAACTCCAAGTATCTGAAATAATTCGTACCGTACCACATTCAGATGATAGAAAATTTGAATAGTTGGAGTTTTACTGAAATTCGAGGTTTATACAAATTAGGTATAGTTAAGCCAATATATTAGTATCGCCATGGCAGGTTACATGTACAAAGATTTTGCTAAGAAAATACACGCATTCACCACAATCGCACACAACCAGTGGCGTAAGTACATTGAGCGGTAGTTGGTGAATAGTTGTGAAATAGTTGTTGTTGTGAATAGTGAATAGTTGTGAATAGTTGGTGAATAGTCAAATAGTTGGTGAATGGATTGTTGGAGTTTTACTGTACCGTACTATAATTTTCACAAAATCTTTATATTAATAGGCAAGCATGTTTCTTTAAAACATTTTTTCTCAGTTTGTGTGCATCTTAGGGGAAATCTACGCCTACTGTTGGAAAGCTATTAGGTGTGCAGAATCCCTTTATAAATTAAAATAGGCTCAAATATAAGCCCAAAAATGAATTAAAAATTTAAAAAAATTAACACAGACCATATGGGTTGCCAAGCTGGTGACGAAATAACAACGAAATATAAACAAAAAGTCAAAACAAATAGAAGAAATTTCAATCACCCTCATGTTTTATTTACAACGTGGGGTGAAAATAGAGAAGTCTGTACATTCAATACTTTTGGTCGAGTTTTCGACCACTGGCCGACCTCTAGTCTTCATAAAATGGTTCATCATAGTTTCTAACCAAGGCGAAGTTAACTTTACTAGTCTTAATTGGCGTAATCACATCATCAAACTTCTTCCTAAGCTCGGCAAATGATTTATATACCGTTCTGTCACTGACTGAGGTAGTTCTTCTAAAACATCGACACAGGCGGTTGTGCTTTATGTTTTGTTGCTGCTGAGTATATTTAATACATTTTAAGACAGTTGCAATCCAGACAATGGTAACATTGTTTCTAGGATAAATTTTATGAAGTGAAGGAACTTGAAAACTATCATGAATTATGTTCGCACCAAAACGGCAAGTGTTGTGCCCACCCCTGGGCTTCGGGGGTGCAAGTGGCACAGGTCAGTAAGCCACCAACCTTCGGTCATGTCCATTGTCATTTTCATTTATTTAAATTTAATTATTTGTCACATATTACAATCAAGTATAAATTACAAGTTTCAAGTTACATATTCTCATTTATTCATTACAATTAATACTGTAGCATTATCATCATTTTTCAATAAACAGTGTTTTACTTCAGGAGCAGTTTTATATTTCAGCTCCATCAACCAAGTTCATTACATGACATTTACATAAGTCATTACATTCAGTGCGTCTGCGTACATCGCAGTGCGTACAGTTTTTGGTCCTTCGAGCCGGATTACTCGTTAAGTGGAATACAGTTCATCTATAGCAAAGATTTAGTGACAATTTTTGAGCTGAAATTGGACACCTCGACGAGGAGAAAGCTGCCAGTTTACTGCCTGTCAATCAACCCCCTCAAGGACAACCCCTTCGCCCTGCATCAACCCTGGACGGAGCCGAGCCATAGCGACTGCAGCCGACACTACTCGAGCAAAATCGTCATTCACCAACTCCTGCCGTCTCGAGCGCAGCCGACAGGACGCGACACAACAGCTGACAAGGGTAAGTGACCGAGGTGTCAAAACATAACCTCCCTCTCAAAGTCTACATCCATGGATGGTATTGTCAACTCCTACTATTTATGTACTTCCAAAACAACATTTTTCTTAACCTAACCTTTAAGCCTCTCACGCATTCAACCATATTCAGTATTTACTATATTCAGAACATGGAAACAGAACTTAAAGTTTTAACCAACAATAGCGGTCAGATAAAGGAAAAATTAACACGGTTCATCACATTCTTTCAAAACCCAGTAAACAAACAAAACCTAACAGAAATTGAATTAAGATATGATAAATTAAACAACATCCTTAGTGAATTTGAAACAGTACAAGAACAAATAGAAATCATAGATGACACGTCAGATCATTCAGCGGAAAGAGATGAGTTTGAAATTCAGTATTTTGACGTAATATCTAAGGTAAAACAACACCTACAACAGAACAATAGTAACACAACTCCGCAACAGTCAATTTCACCATCTATCAACAATCAAATTCCAGTCAAGCTCCCAACAATAAACCTCCCGACATTTTCGGGAAAGTATGAAGAATGGACGTCCTTCTATGACACTTTTTCTTCGTTAATTGTCAACAATGACGCCCTAACCGATGTACAACGCCTGCAATACCTCAAGGCTTCCTTGACAGGTGATGCAAAACATTAGACAATTTGGATTTGACTGCACATAATTATGGAACAGCATTATCGCTACTGAAGCATCAGTACCAAAACGAAAGAATCATCGTACAAAATCATGTAAAATCAATTTTAAACCTTCCACAAATTCACAAGCACGAACCTCAAAAACTTAAGCAACTTATCAATAGTCTCCACACACATCTTTGGGCACTGAAATGTCTAAATTAACCAACGAGCACTTGTAAATATGCTCATACACATAATCATTCCCAAACTCCACCCTTTATTACAACGCGAATGGGAGCTATCAACTGAGCCCAGAGAGCAGACTTTCTAGAGAAGAGCTGTCAAATCCTTGAGAACATTTCTTCCAACAAACACAAATTACACAGAAACATTCAAATCACTCCAACTGGTAAAACCAATCTTTCAAACCCAAGTCTCACGAATTTCAGACGCAAACTTGCAAACTTTGCAACAGTAATCTTGCAATTTACCGTTGTAATAAACTGCTAAACTCTACACATGATGACAAACTTAAACTACTTTCAAATTCAAGACTATGTCACAACTGTCCAAGCCAGGGACATAAGATCGAACAATGCAGATCTTCAGGGTGTAAGAAGTGTGATTATAAGCATAATACTTTGCTGCATGTATATGAGCCACAATCTAGCATGGCATGGCCTACTGTAGAACTTAAGACACATTTCACTAATTCTCTAGGCACCAGTACAACACCATCCTCAAATAACTCAGAGATGTCGCTGTCAACAGCCTTAAAACAAAATCATCAGCCCTCATGGCACCCAGTTGACATGGTGCTTCGGGCCAAGCAAGCTTCGGGGATGCAAGTGGCACAGGTCAGTAAGTAACGTTCGGTTGTGTTGATTGTCATTTTCATGTATTTCAAATAAATTATTTGTCACATATAACAATCAAGTTAAAAGTTACATATTCTCATTTATTCATTATCATTTATACAGTAGCATTATCATAATTTTTCAATAAACAGTGTTTTACTCCATGCGCAGTCTTATATTTCAGCTCCATCAACCAAGTTCATTACACAACATTTATTACATAAGTCATTACATTCAGTACGTCTGCATACATCGCGGTGCGTACAAATTATGTTTAAGTTCAAGATCATTAAATTACAGTGAAAATATGTTACGAGAGATGGAATAGTAAACAGCCTAATTCATACTGGGCAAATGTTTGACAAACAAGTTTCTTGTCATAGTTTTATAGCAAACTAATAGGCTACATAGTTTGGCCAAAAGTGGTCCAGTTTGAGCCTAGTGTCATTGATAATGAACTTGTGATATTATCATCTTCGGCTAGCTTGTTTAGCTACATTGGGCATTTGTAGTAACTAACGGACCTCTACCTCTAAGATAGTGGCTGTTACAAATGATTTCTATATACAACTGTTGTAAGCTACAGGGGGAGAAAAACAAAATTAAGGTAGTGGGCCACTAGTTTCAATAACGCTGCTGATTCTGTTCGATTGTTTCTGTTTGCTGTTTATAAATATATATATATTTTTCTGTTCAATAAAACTGTGAATAAGTGTGGTCAAACTTAACTCACCAAGAATTTTGGATATGACAGAGTTGTGCATGTTGGGGTTAGCCTTAAGAATCTTCTGTCTCTCGCCCTTGGCCCAGACTATGAATGCATTCATGGGTCTCTTGATATGTGGCTTCTTCTCCTCTGTGGCTGGTGAAGGCTTTTTCACCAGTGCAAGGGCTGCTGGTCAAAATTATATTTATTAATAAATATAAATGTCACCAACTAATTCAAGCCTGTGATTGGATATTTGTAATTTGTTATTTTGTAATTGCAAAATACCACTGGAATTAAAATATAAATGTGTGTGATGAAAAAATAAGATTTAAAGCTAACAGGATTGTTTGAATTTTTTAAAAGCTCTGGGCAAGTATTACTTTCAGCCAAAAATTACTGGGTTTATTTAAAGACTGTTTTTGTTATTATTAAATGTATAGCTCGTGACAGTAAGCTGGCACTTGACTGATTGCTACTAGCATCTATTCCAAAAACATTATTTGCCATCGTGCGGGATGCGTCTACTGTCCTTGTGATCCACATGAAGGCACTCAAGTACATGAAACATGGGGAGTCAACCCCATGAGTCAGCGGATGTGTCTGTAGTCTGGTCTTTTCCATTCCTCCACCCTCCCTACCCTACCTACACTACCCACGCTGGGCCCAAAGCCAGCTTACATGTCACAAGCTATAATAAGATTATTAATTCTCTAAAATATTAATAATTTTAAATAAATGTCCAAGATCTGGATCAAACTTATTATACAAGTTTAGTTGGCCTACACATATTAAGCTAAATTGAAAGTTACAAATTCAAAAAATGATCTGTCTAATAGAGTACAGTACCTACTGAAATGGATATTTGACTTAGTAATATCAATGTTTATGGCCACTTACCATCTTGTTGTACAGGCTCTTTTGATCCTTCTAGCCAATGAGGATTGACCACAGCTTTATCTGAAACACAATATCTGAGCTAAAACATCAGAATGGTAGCTTAAAGAGGAAACCCCTGTGTGCCACAGCTGTTTAATTGGCTTTTCGTACCGGTGGATGTTAACAGTTTGAAAACTTCTCATGAATCTACAACAGGCAATGCCTACAGTGCCTACAGTGACTGACAATTAATTGAGGATAAGCTAATTCAAATCTTAGACCCTATTATAATCAGTGCCGACCCATAGACGACGAGCCGACGATTAGTCTTGTTGCCGAAAACAATGTAAGAGAAAATCACTGATCTTGCCAAATGTGAATCGCAATAATAATCAATTTAGATGGGAACCCGCAGTTGATGATAACATAAATATATGATGATGGTTAAAATATTAAGTGAAGGTGTATTTTAACCTAACCGAAGGATTAGAGTAGAATAGAGTGAGATGATCTGTGATTAAGTTTCAATGGAATGGGGTTGACCCTTACTGAAATGCATTGCCAGTGGATGGATCTTTATGCAGAAATGCTTAGGGGTTGAAAATGCAAGGGAGTTTTTAGGTGATACATATTTGCTCAACAATGCCAGCAGCAAGTGTACATTAGTTCCATTGAGGCAGAAATTAAAATTGATGAAACTTTGCTTGCTGATCGGCATGGTTAATACGCACAGTTTGAAGTTGTCGATAGTTTCACAGGGGCCTTCTGGGTCAATTCTAAAATCTCTTGTATTGTCACATGTTCCGCATGTAAAATTCTTCCCCCCACTTTAGTCATTCCCTCAAATGAAACTGGTGAATTAGAGCCGGCTGGCTTACAATCTGCAAATGTTCACGACTGCTTCCTCCGCACCTTGCAGACATCTACATCCTAACATTTGATTTTATATTCACGTCTCACATCTGTCAACATGCAACAGAAAGAGTTGTTCAGGATGGTGTTCAGTTGTAACTGGTTGGATCAAATATTATTAATTAAGTTAGAGGAGGGGGGTTCAGAAATTTCTTAAGGAAGGAAGTAAAAACCTATTTTTAATAAATAAGAGAATATTACCTTTTGAGGGGGTTTTCAGTTTATGTTGCACAGTCCAGTTTGGAGGTTGAAATTCTCGCACTACAATTAAAAAAGGTTTAATTAGATACACTCACCAGCATCAATTACAATAGGCCTACCGTTAAAATATACTTTAACCAAAAGCAGATAGTATATAAGCCTTAATATATATGCGATGAAGGAAATCTATCCCGTAACCATTGGTTATTATTAGTGAGCTTTATAGATAAAGTTTCTTTTTATAAGTAATTGTATAGTATGATAACTGTCTTACCTGTGTGATGAAGAAACCAGTGTGAACAGTTTAAAAAAATGTTAACTGAAAATGAAATTGGACTTGTAAATAAAACAACACACTTTCTTTAAACCTTTTTATGTAAAATAAGTAACATAGAACAACAACAAGAACATACTTTGCAACAAGAACATCTTGTGCAAAGTAAACGAGAAAGGTTGAGTTGACTGGTGAAGAATATACTTTACATTTTAATTATTTTTCTACCTTATAATAGTTACCGAGATAGTTGACGTGACATTTAAGATGCTACAGCTGACAATAAGGCATCCTATCAGTTTGAGATGGAAAAAGTCTGCATTTGCGACATAAATCAGCAATTTACATCGGTTTGATCTGTCAATGGCTCACTTCAACTACGTAATTTTGATTAAAAACTAGGGATAACTTTAACTTAGGTCTACAGTTAAGCTAAGTTTAACGAGTATTAATAGAACTACACATCCCATCCCTATGTTAAAGTAATAACATAATAAAGCTTAATTAAATATGTTTAAAAAGCTAATGACAACAAGTTTCTTCTAGTAGCTACTACAAATTCAAGGTTTTACAAAACTCCAATTAAAAGTTCTTGAAAATAAGTTGGTAATGTATCTTGGGCAAATTTCTAACAAGGTACCTATAAAAAGTGAAACAAGTGTTTAATGAGTGTGAGTGACAAGTCTTTTGTAGTTTGGCCTCACAATTACAAACTGGTTCTTTGGTCTACAACCAGTATTGAAAGGTCCAATGAGCCAAGAGGTAAATTTAATAAAAGCGACATTTTATTCAATAAGCCAGCAAGAACAGTTTTAGAAGTCCGAATCTAATCAGTATTTTAGCAACTGGACAGCGCTAGGTCTAAGGATTATATAGATATAGACCTTGTGATCACAATTCCATCGAGCACATACAAAATGTGGTCTAACAAAAAAAGTAAGGGTTATATAATTTGTTTTTTAAATTTTGTAGGTGCAAATTCTTTAAATCCCAGTACTTATTAAGATTCTAACATAAATCTCAAAACTTTAAGATAGTCACTCTAATCAATCACAAAGTACGGGTAACTTATATAGGCTTCAACTTGCGTTGAAACCACACATTAGCACAAAATACCACCAAAAACCACCAGGTCAAATAGACTGGTCCGTCAGAGGCATATATAAGTCACATATATTTATCTATTTCCAAACAAAATAAACATTGATGATATTTGTGATGCTGTAGAGATTGGACTCAGTTTCTTCATTCTTGTTTCATCTGAAAGAAAGGTATTAAAATCATCAGGTCGATTTAAACCAAACGACAACAAGAGTAATTTTAAGGAAAGGTATTGTTTTAGCATTTGCTTGAAGTCGTCAGATTGGTAATTTTGAGTTACACAGTAGTAAACACTTGGTAGAAGTAATAAAAATATCCCGCAAAATTTAAAATCAGCAACTACCATCAAACAACACATTAAGGCTCGTATAAGTTAACCTAGAAAGCTGCATCTGTTAATGTCTTAATAATGTATTATACAAGATCAAAGAATACAGTAAAACAAATTATTTCTTTCCATAAGCACATAAAAGTAGGCTAGCAACACTTCAGGATAGACTGGTAAGCCTATAACTAAGTTAACCTACTTTTCTAACGTTTACGTGTACCTGAATCTAGTTCTTACATTGGTTAAAGCCTATTTGTTGGTTATTTATTTGTAGTTTTGTTAAATTTATTTATTTTTTAAGTAGGCCTAATATAAGTTAACTTACTTAAGTTTTACTTGTATAAGATAGATTTGGCAAAACTTTCATATCCGACACCATTGTATTAACTTAGCCTATCAATTCTTATACTGGATGTTCAAAAGGTCTGGACACCTCTTGAGTTAAATATCTTTTTAACCAAATTGGTTGGAAAATTAAAACTTTGCAATTTAACTACATATAGGCCTAGGCCTATGTATAAAAACTACTTTTTACTAGCATTACCATTTTTTTACCTCCACGGGGGGACGGCCCATGGGGAGTACGTCCTTAAGTAGGCCTACAAAATCTTAAATGTAGGGTAAGTTAAGCAAAGGTAAATATGCACATCATTTTACAGGGCTGGTTAAGTGGGATCAATGTCGGAAACCATGTCTCATAAGGTTCACCCGTTGTGAAATGGTAGCCATTTAAAGTTTCTATTGATACTTAAAATATTGGTGTTCAAACAAGTCAGGAAACCCCTTTCTTATTTTATTAAGAAAACCCATAAAACAGCATCACAGCCTAAGTGGGTTTGAAATTTGTCTTCCCAAAAAAGCTCATGTAAAACCCTATTAAATTTAAGTATAGGTACATAACCCTACCTTGATCAGATTATTAAACTAGGGTAGGCCTATTTTTACCACACGAATGACACTTAATTTTGCCGTATAAGATAGGCCTAGCCTATGATGGTTAACATTTAAGTTGAAACTTTATTTTTAGACTTGGAATTCACATTCCTTACTTATATAAATTTACAAAGGAATTAGGCTAATACCTAGGTCCAGTTCTTTAATGAAAAGTATGTTGGTAACTTAATGTTAATAATGGGTTTCTTGAAGCCTATACTAATAAAATGAGGGCTTTACAGTAAGAAGTTAACCAAAACTGACCACTAACCTATGATTTTAATAAGTTGTTAACTCTTTCTCAACAGAAGTACAATGCTGTTAAGATATTTTAACTGAGATTGTTTTAGAGCTAGGCCTACCAGTCAACTTGCAGATAAAAGCTAGACTAACATGCAAATTATTTGTTATCAATAAAAACCTAGAAGCTAGACGGGGCTGAGTTCGCTAGGACTACAATTAATTAAAAGTTTGAGTAGGCCTACTAGGCCTCTAGCAATTTTAACATGATAAAAATGTTCATTTGATTAACTAGGTTAAATACCAAATTCAGAAGTAGATAACCTAACAACACAACCTATTATAAAACTAGATTTATACAAATTTCGTCATTATGACTTCACAATTATTTTCCATAAGGCAATAGAATAGAAACAACAATAACAGAACAGAATAATCAAACCTAAGCAAAACAACAGAAAACAACAGCAACAGACAAGTTGCAAAATAAAAAAAAGATCAAGACGATTAACAAAAAAAATGAAAAAATAGCTGGTTCTTCTTAAGAGTGACTGTGTTGATTTTCGGGTCGCTGCACGGCCACCTTTAGGCCTTGGCCTTCGAACGAACTGGCAACGTCGCAAGTGGTGTTGTAACAGCTGTTTTGTTTGGAAGAAGCTATGGTATTTGTTTATTTACGAAAGATATGGTTACTGGACTATGACAATTAATAGTGACTCCGCTTTAAAATGTACAGATATAGATTTTAATTTATTTTAATTTTTCGGTTTTCAATTCTGCATGTTTTATTTTCAATACTTTAATAAATTTATGTTCATTAATTTAAATTTTAATCAATTAAGGGCGAATTAATGAGCCGATGTCACCTGTTTGCCATGTTATCTTATAGGACGTCTGTCAGTGAACAACACCACTTGCGATGTTGCCAATTCTACCAGGCCGCGGCCTTGTAGAATTGGCAACGTTGCAAGTGGTGCTGTCCAGCCCCGGAAGTCCCATAAGATAACATGGAAAGCAAGTGACACCAGCTCAGTAATTTACGGATTATTTATTTAAATTTAAATGTATGATTAATGAGGGGACAGCTCACTTACTCTACAGATCATAGACTATACGAGCTTTTTAAATAATATTGAAGGTTCACTTGCACTACAGGCTCGTATACTATACGAGCCTATCGAAAATAAAAAGTAAATGAAGAGGGTTCACTTACTCTACAAATCATTGTGCCTATGAGCCTCGTGTATTATATTTAAAAATACAGTAGGAAGGTTCGCTTACTCTACAGATCATAGTGACTATGAGCCAAGCTTACGAATTATTTGATAATTCAGGAATCGGCTCGTATAGTATACGAGCCAAAATAATGAATAATATAAATTATAGGAATAGGCTCGTATACTATACGAGCCTGCAGAAAAATATTAGATGGCTCACTTACACTACAGATCATTGGCACAATGATCCGTAGAGTAAGTGAACCCTCTTCAAAATATTAGATGGCTCACTTACTCTACGGCTCATTTAGCTACTCGTTGCGCGGTTTGCGTTCGTGAAACTCTAGGCGCTATGCCCGGCTTCGACTGCTGCGACTGCCTACATAAGTGTATTGCATCACCTCAATTATTTATTAAAACGAAATAAATATGTATGCACAAGTAAATTTATTAAATTTTTGGACTGAATACTTTAAAAATGGAGGGAGCATGACTTTTATGTTTAATTAAATTAAAAGTTATAGAATAAAACATATTTTGACTATGTGATTTGATCATGTTATATAATACACACTTGTATGATCCAGATACAGAGCTACAGACAAAACCTGTGGTCCGATTTAGATTAAATTTTGTATCTGGATTCATCCACGAGTCACTAATTTTTTAAGCACGGGTTGAGAAATAATGGCAAAAATTTATAAAAACAGTTCACCAGTTTAGAATATTTCTCAGTTACTGTGAGTTGCAAAAAAGTGTATACAGAAGCATTTGTGTCCACAGAAAATATAGAGGACTAGATGTATACAGAAGATATATTAAAATAAAATACGCATACAACTATCAACGTTTACATATGTAAAATTAATGAATTTGTTGTGGTATTGAGTATTTTTAACATTATGACGAAGCCTTAACAAAATATATTTTTTTAAGGAGTTCTAGGGTGTTAAACTATATTGTATTTATCTTTTGTGGAAGATTCTGTCCACGATTTATGATTGCTAACAATTTAATACAAAGATTTAAGTCTCTGTACGTGAAGACTAAAAACACGAAACAAACTTTAAAGGGATAGAAAAGATTTGATCAGGAGCTGGCGTTTGATACCTTTTGGGAATAAATATAGCCTCTACTTCAAAGGTATACATGGTGAGGTAGCCTCTGGAAGTCCATCTTCAGGTTAACAAAAATGTCAATAGGTCATCTAACCAATTTGGTTAGATGACCTATTGACGTTTTCTGAAGATGGACTTATTTTCAAGTCCGAAACTATAGTAGTGTAATACTGAAGAAGGATCACTTGACTAAGCCAGGTAACTTAAACCATTTAGCTTAAAGTTATACAAGTTGGTTTCACACCAACATTTCATGCACATATGAAATCTATATAATTAATACGCGAACACGAAGTTTGTCGGTTGAATCCT